ATGCGTTAGTGCGTGCGTGCATGCATGCGTGCGTGCTGCGCGCACGCGTGTTTGTGGATGAAGGAACGGGAGATAGTTTTTAAACACCGCCGTTTTGCCTGCCAGTGTGGTTGAATCACACGTGCGCGAGAATATGTTAAAAATTAAATTAAACGCTAGCTGGTTCCCACGAAAATATATATTATCGTTTGCTAATGATCGGAAGAAATATTTTACCTCTTCTGCTCCTGTCCTGCATTTTTATCGTAACAAAAGCCGAGAATTAAGACGAATCTATTAACGCAATATTTTTACCGCGCGATATTTATTTACATTGTATAAATAATCTTTTAATACGAAAGTTGTATAGAAACTTGTTTACATTTTCTATTTATTTTATTTTATTCCTTAATGTGAAAATTTCACATGTGACAATATTGTAAAACAAAACACCATAAAGGCGTAAAATTTCAAGACGGTGTAATCTCGAGCAAAATGTTATTAAGGATCGTATAGAGATTACGTGCGGATTACGAGGAGAAGTATATTTCCACGAACGAACGCTGTAACTTGCCAGTCCCCTCCTCCTTTTCGTTCACATCCAGTTCCATTTACATCTTCGCTTTTATCCTTATTTTCATGCGCCTGTTCTGACTTCTGCAAACAGATGTAGCGCATTTTATTCTGAGGTGTATGCGGGTCTCGCATTTGTTTTTTTTCCCTGCCGATGTATGCCGTGTGCAGCATCGGTGACGAAAGAGGCCACCGCCTCTCCTTCGATTGCCAGTGCTACGGCCAAAGAGTACCGCGATTCTCGCGCATACGAGATCACGCATGTAAATGATAATTATCGAGTTCAAGCGCGCTGGAAAGATCAATTAGCTATACCGCGAGGAGAATGTTACGTATATCTCGCGCGCGCTCTGAGATTGGTCGATTGGGCGAAAAGAGCGGCGCGGCGGCGCGAATGAATCGTTGCGGGAATCGAGGAGACGATGATTTGCAAGACGTCGATTCTTGGAAGCGAATCGCATAGTCCGGAACGATCGCCAATTGTCCGACGGCGAATCGGACTCTGTATCTCAAAGTTTCAAGTTTATCCGCGTATACTCACGTGGAATTCGGTTAATACAAAAAAAGGATATTGTGCAAATGTTTTAACCACTCTGCGGCGCAAACTTGATAATAATTATCCACGTGCGCAGCTTCCTCACGATGAAATGCCCTGTGCCGCTTTAAAATTAAAACAGCACCCATATAATTAACATTTGTAAATTTAAGTAACGCAAAATCTACAAAGAAAATCAGAAATTGTGCTAGATAAAATTTATAACACATAATTGTCGTGAAGGAAAGGGAAAGGAGAGGAAAATTCTTTTGAGCACGACACATTTGTATAAAAGTCGTATTAAAGAGAGAAAGAGAGCGACGAGGTATGAAAACGGTACGCGATATAAAATAAATAAATTCAAGATAATAACACCGTGTGTACGTGAGGCTTATTTAACTCGCTTCGGAAATAGCCACCGTTCACACCTGTCTTAACGCTTGATTATGGTTTCGACTTGTGTATGCGCGCTTATCGATTGCATAACACCATGCATCGGGTAATTAGGCGAGAAAGAAGGCCATGCACGTATAACGTCGTATAGATTTGCGCGACAGACACACTAAGTAATAAAGCGTGTCACAGATTGCGATAAATTTTAATTCGATTATATACACGTATAGTGTGTTGGATGTATAAATTTTAAATGTTACGTAAGCGGCGCGGTTTTTCGCGCGATATGAAGTTATTGGGAATTGCATCGCATTATGTATGTTTGCGCCTTGAACTTTGATGCTGCGCTCGATATTATACTTGTTATACTCGCGCAATTTACTCATTATACAGCAACATTATTATCATCTAACGATTACTTCGATTCTGCGCAAACATCGATTCACTTAATCGCTCGGATTTAAAGAATTTATTAATCAATTAAAAAGGTCTAAATACAATATATATACAGATATAGAATATAGCACATTTTATTAAAATTAATATTTATTAGCGCCACGTTTAACGATTTACATAATATATCGCGTTAATTTTATATAGATCAATGCCATTCAATTTGACTGTCTAAAATAAACACCTCTGTCGGAGAGGAGAGATTCGCCCTAAATTGCAAATAGCTATCGATTTGATAGTTATCATTAATTAATATCGTCCATATCGAACATTCAAACGCTTGCTGGCCTACGAGGATAAATTCTATAAAGCGTATCTTTATGTCCATGTGATTTAAATAAACGCACTAATACAGTACTGACGTCTATTTGTCACTTTGCCTACTTGGATTACGCGCGGATCGACACTCTTGCACGTAATGTCCGGCACGCATGAACTCTCGTGACTATATCCTTTGCATGTTTAACGTCGATTCTAAGCGAAATCGACGCGCGTGGGCTGTCAGCTTCAGAGAAGCGCATCTTCCACCGCCTACGCGCGCACTTCACCGAACGCACTCGACGTGCATTGTCGTAAAAGTCACGGGATGCCCCCGTCCTTGTAAGAGAAGGGTCCTCGCTTCTGAACTGAACTTAACGAGCGGAGGATGCGTGCAAGCGGCAATCGCGGAGCGGCGTAAAGGAGCTATTAATAAATTATGAAGTCATTAACGAAAGGGGGGGAGGGGGAGGGGAGAGGCGATGCAAATCATTAGTTTCCTTCTTTTTCTTTTCTTCATTTCCCCCCTCCATTTTTTTTAACAATTTCGCAACGTTTTGTAAAAATAAGATTATAAAAATGATATTTCATCCGAATTGCGACATACATAAACCGGAATTTAAAAATTATAATATGGACGTCTCTCTTGTTGCATGATCGAGCCATAAAACTACTTAAATGAATATCCGAGCGAGCCAGACGCTTCATGTTTGAGGCATTTGTTCGTTGTACAAGGTCGAGCGATAACTTTTCTATTATTGGCAGGAAACGGATCAAGCATATAATTTATTATAACTTCCTTTATTTAATGCCGGTAACGTTTCCGGTCGTTTTTACCGCTAGTATACCGACTTTCTTGAAGGCGAGAAAGGATGCTCCCGTAAAAAAAAAGGATTTCGTATCATGATCATATTAGTCTTGTAATTCGATATTAACTGTTGAGGTAAGCAAAGCCAGTAATCGTATCTTTATATCACAAGTGACATAGGTCAAATAAAAATTGTGTCTAATTGTACTTAATAACATCTTGGCGATGCGTTTAATTCCACTCTAGATCTATATAATTCACGTCAGATTTCTGTTTATAAATACATATGTTGTATATTTTAATGTATATGTGTGTACATTTGATGTACGTATATATTTTAATATATATACATTGAAAAAGATATTAAACAGTAAATATATTTACTCAAAAAGAAACGATATTTATGTAAATAAAATTAATGGATATTTTGTGTGAGAGAGAGAGATAAATATATGTTTAATATTTATTAAAGGATAATTTTTACTAAAAGATTTAATATTTATGTGAATATTTACTTACAATTATTCAAATATATATTTATTAAAAGTTAATATTTTTTTAAGTGTATTTTTTATATGTACAAATTTTGATTCTACTTAGCGCATTATCTAAATTTTTTCAATTCTATAGATGGAATCTGAATTCTATGACGTATTATAAAACATTTGTATAAAGTAGGTTTTATTACGTATAGGTTAGTCAACTTAAAAATACAACTTCGAAATACGATATTTCAATGTCGAATAATTAACGTCCAATTTTTTCGGAATGTCTGACAGTACAGAAGTAATCGCGAAAGTATCTCGGAAGTGATTAACGTAGAATAAAGTGCGGATAGCTTCTTTTCTCTTGTCAGAGTTTCTGCAATTGACAACTCATTCCAGAAGCAATATTTCGAGAAGAGCAAATAAATCGCCTGCGTGTCTAAGATATTTATCGTTCGCCTTTATCGGGCAAGTTTATCTCCGCTAGATTGAAACGCGCGAGATAGGTAGTGAGATTTAATCGTGAATATTCTCGCGCCGAAAGGATGACGATATATTTTTGCAGGCTTGCATGCATAAGAAGCGTGATGCGTTTAAGTGTCGATGCGTAAGAGCGCAAAGTAGTAGCGGAATACACAACGAACGGGCACAACCGCACGATGATACAGCCAACTCAACCTGTCGGTCGAGCGCCACTCCGCGTTTATGCGCGCCGATCGATATTGAGAACTCGTCTTAATGACAGGCACACTCGTAACGCAGGATCGCTCGTCCTTGCAACCCGCAGGATCCTTGCCCCTTGCACGCCGCCGGGAGTTGCGTCAGTCGGTCGACCGCTCGATCGTCCGTATGTGTGCCTCTTTCTTGGTATATCACGCGCGCTTGTGTGTGCATAGATAATTGTCGGCGTGCGCAGATCTGTGCGTACCATCTATCGCGACAAACATAAGTGAGAAACGCCTTACAGGATTCGCTGATTAATCGCGATAACTCACGAGTCCCAATAACTCAAAGTAACTCTGCATGATGGATAAGTCTTCTTATCGCACACAAAACTCTAAACAATACTCATTGGATATATCCGCTCGATTATATTTTATTAATAACTTTTAATTAATGTTTCACGAACAATGTGACGTATTGACAACTTGCGTCATATTTTTAATTCGGAATAAATTACTGAGACGCAAAAAATATCTCAACGGATCGTATCGCTCGCAAAACGCATCAATAACACATATACCGTGTGCTTGATCTATAATCAGCGTTCAATTAAGTGCTTGGGAAATGTCTGTGATTGCGATGGTTACTGTGTCACTTTCCAGCTGGAGAGTGCGCTTTGTAATCGAAGTAGGTCACGTGATGGAAATAATCGAGAGTAATTAAAACATAAGCGGCGATGGTTACGATATCACGCCACATTTCTGTCCTCTACGTGGACATTCTGTCTGTGCACTCCAACAAACGTCATTCAAGGCGATTTCCGATTTAATCTCGAATCTGTGAATGATTGCAGGTGATGAGCAGTATCGAGGCGCCGGTGGCTCGAGCAGCGGAAGTCCGCCGGCCAGTCTGTTGGTGGTTCCTCAACCACTCACCGTAAAACCTTCCCATCCGTCGCATTTAAATTCCCATCTTGGTGGACCTCATTCGCATCCACCGAGGAAGTACCAATGTAAAATGTGCCCACAGGTAAGTTCGACCAGTCGACGTGTCTACGTCAGCATCGTATTTAGCTTTAGGCATCTCTATGAATCTCTATTTACCATATCTCTATTTTTCTATACTACCGTGTTAATCCGTGAAACGGTTATTTAGGTGCTGATTTTTTAACACATTCGTGTCGTAACAAGCGTTACATATTTAGGTCAAACAGGGTAAGCAGGCCATACAGAGAAAGTGACCATAGACTTTTGGAATGACTACAAAAATGCTCTATTTAATAATTATTGAACACACTCTGTGGCCTGCATCTTTTTCGTATGGCTGTAATACCTGAATAGTGAAACGAAAGGCACATGTGTCCTTTACTCTATGAATGAATCCATTGTAAAGATTGCGTCAGTAAGTTCCTTTTTTAAAAATTGTATATATCTTTTTTTTTTTCCTTCTGCCTTCCCATTCTTTTCTAAAAGGTCCTTTGATAGATAATATGATTTATGGGAAAGAGAGAGAGAGAGAGAGATTTACTATTAATATGTTACTCTATTTTACTACATTTTCATGCGTTAATTTTCACAAATATTAAGGCTATTTATCGCAGGTAAAAATGCTGTTTACACACGTTTCGACAGAGGAAGACTTAGTCTCGTTACAAAAGATTTTGACAAAAACCTTTCTTCTTTTCAAGTAACGAAATTTTCGTTATCTTCATAAATCCTGAATATTGGTAGCATCTTACAAGTTCTGGTCTTTCTTTTATTTAAAGAAAAGGAGGAAGAAATACTCTCTTGTAAATTCATCGCTCTCGTTTTAACCGTTTAAACATGGAAATTCTTTTAGTCTTTTGTGAACACGAATTTCGAGCCTTATTGGTATGTTCCTTTTTTTTTTGTATCCTTTCATGCTCTTATTCGATCTTTCACCATTTATCTTCATGGTTTATTAAAGTTTCAACCTGCAAAATCTAAGGTCTATTTTCTATAGCTGAACTAATGTATGCTTTTGGAACTTAAAGTGAGATACGTCTATGTTTGATATTTGTCGAAAACGAGAAAGAGAGTTTTAGTGCAATCTAGTGCAGGAACAGAAAACATGTTATTAATATAAATGTGTGTTTATGAATAACTTCAGTAACTTTTTCTGATTTAATTCTAGGATATAATTTTTATAACGACGTTAGTGATATAAACAACATTATAATTTTATGAAAATGATTAATATTTTAATGCATACTTTTTATTATGTAATTTTATTATATTATTATTATATATTATATGATTATTATATTATATTATTTTTTGTGTATAATACATGTCTTTTACTTTTTGAACACAAGACAAACATTTGCGACATGTATACATTAAATTTTATTTTAAAACCAAAACGAAGAGCATACATTTTATTTTATTAACGATACATAAATTATTAATTGATGATTCAAATATGTAACGGCATATTGAGTTATCAATGAAAAGATATTCTTGGAATATCATAAAATCTAATAAGTGTGAATAATATTCACAACGAATAGTCGTAATACAGCATTCTTCTGATAAGATTGAGAGCGAAAGAGACATTATTTTGGAGACATCGAAGAATTCACTGAAATAATTAGAGGTTGTAACAAATTGATATCACTTTCAGTGATCATAGATTTTCTTAGCTTTCATATTTGATTGGGATTTCTCCAACGCAAAGATACTTCTATCTTACATACGTGCAGAACATCATCTTATTATTAATGTCTATTTAAGGGGAGATTTGAGAAAGATCTTGAGACTCCCATCAAAGATGCAGCATCCTTTTGCGGCTTTAAGATTTTGGTTGCGCACTGCAAGGGCTCTTACGATAACGAAAAGACCTGACCTCGAGAAAATTTGCCGCCAAGTCGCGATGTTTTCCGTGCCTGTTCGGCCGCACGTTCGTAGGTTGACGATTTATGTCCCCGATGATGGATTTGAGTTTCGCAAATTCGTTAACGTGCGCTTTACGAGCCGTTTAGAGACAATCGTTAAAGTTTACAACTTTCCGCGCTTTCCGCGATAATTACCAGCGAACGGCGGCGCGTTACGTAGAAAAAAGATGGTGCGAGACGAACGAGAAAAAAGAGAGAGAGAGAGAGAGAGAGAGAGAGAGCTAAGAGGCTCTCGAAGGACGCGGTGCGTGACATTCCATAAGGCGAATCGTTAAAACTTAATGATATTCACTGAACGTCTATACAGAATAGGGTAGATTATCATACACCGGAGATCGACAAAGCGTTGCACCGGCGCTTCTCTATCCTGTTTTGCGGGGAAGAAAAAAGCGGGGCAAAACACGAAACCCGGCGATTAAAACTAGTTATTACACGTACAATCTGCCACGTTAGATACAATATGTGACACAAACGGGGTTAATTTGTCCCGGATCGAGAGAGACGTCGCGCGTCGAGAAAATCCCGCAATCTCCGCCTGTCCGTTACCTGAAATATCTCAATGAAGAATAATTTTTTTGAAATCGGCTGTATGCGTATGTATGTGCGTGCATGTGTATGTATATGTGCGTGATTTATTCCGTTAGGCGTTCTCAGAAGGAACGGAAAGAGCGGCAGAGGGATAATCGTTAAGGTGCGGACCGATCTGCGCGGCACGCCGCTCATTAACACGAAATTAGTAAACGAACAAATCTAAATTCTACGTAGAAATTACAACCGCTTCGTTAGCTGTTTCAATAACTAATCAAGGCCGGCTCTTAATCGCCCGCTCTTATCGCTGGTCGATGTCGGTTAATAAAATAATAAACTTGCATGTCCGGTTGCTCGTCACCACTTTTGGTCGTTACTGTGCGTTCTGTTTAATATTAAAATTATAACGCAGTATATAATTATAACATTGTCTTTTATTGCCGCGCAAAATGATCTGTTACTCATGTTGCCATGTATAATTAAGTGTGTAACAAAAATATTCCGATTAGCTATTTAACTTAAAGGAAAAATAATACCCGTAACATATTGCATTTTATTAAGCGTGCATTGATATTATTTTTTGTAAAAGCATTTATATTTACTTTTAAGTAATGATTTGGAAAATTTGTCTTTACAGTTGTTATATTTTGCAACTAATATATTTTTTTTTTTAATGAGCAATAGTTCGATAAATATTTTATTCATTTTTGGTAGAGTTTGCCGCATAAAGTAACTTCTCATATTTGTAGATAGATATTATTTTTAATTATTGATCTTTATTTGCACGATTTTTCAAGAAATGATTCTTATTTCTGGCTTTGCAAAAACTGATCGGATCTAAAGATTGTTACGTTTTATTTCCACTTTCCCCTACACAGTAATAAGTACTCGCTGACGGTCCCGGCTGCGTCGCGTTCCAGACGGAGATTAAACCGAATCAAATTATACATTTGTGGACGGTAAAAAAGTTTACAAATTACACAGATTTTGTGCAACGGTACCGGCAGATTCTCCGCGATTAATCGGCCTCCGCGGCACGTTACAAAGTGGTAGTTTCTCGTTATAATCGTTTCTCTTTATCGGATATCTTTTCGAGAAGTAGGATCTTTGAAATGAGAGTAAGAGAGGAAAGACTAGAAGAAAACTGCAGGAAACACTGAAAAAAATTTAAGATTTTTTTCTACGAGAAACAAGAAAAGTTTTTATAATTAAAGTTGAACGTACATATCGCAGTTATATTTATTTATACTATTTACACAATATATAACAATAAAAACAGTAATACGATGGCCATATTTTATAATGATGAAACTTTGTTGTTGTTATTATTATTATTATTGAAAAAACAAATACATAGAGAAAATTATATGGTGCCATTTAATTGGATAACGATCTCTAGTTTTCGTCATGGCTAATTCTCCCAATGTAATTTGGATTATAATTAAACTTGAAAAGAGATAAAGCGAAAACGATGAAATTTAGATATGTAAAACTTTTGCATCAATAATTACGATCGTTATTAGTTTATTTATAGCGCGGCAATTTTGAAAATTATTACCTTTACGGTATGAATTTTTGCACACGTTCACGCAGAGGAAGAGGCAGTAAATTTATTCTCGATTAGTTGTAATACTGATTGAATGCGACACTAGAGGATGGAAAGCGAAGGAAGTTCGACGAGAGGAGTAGCGGAGTATGTACAGACTCAGTTTGGGGTGGGAGGTTAAAAATTCAGGAATTCATAAATTGCCGCAATCACCACGCCCCCAATAAGGCAGGAAGTAGAATTATGCCTCATCTCGCGCAACGGTGCTGTCACGCTTGTTTCACTAATGTCTTCTACGATTAATCGAGTTCGTTGTCGCTTCGATGTTGGGATCTCCTCGCCCTCCTATCAGACCAAACTTTTGACATTCCTTGCACGCGTTTCGTTTTCGGATAGATTTCGTGATTTTCACGCGACAGAGAGAATCGCTTTCGAAATCGGAACTTTGAGCCAATTTAATTCTAACAACTTAACCGAAGCATACTCTTGTCTCTCTGTAGTTCCAGAGCGTCGTGTGCTCGACTTGAAATCGGAGTCACGGACCAAAGCTCTCGCGATATCGCGATCGCTTGTCGCGCTTCGCCGATCCTGTCCTTTAATCCAACGTGTCTAGCTCATCGTCGCTCCGCGACGCTTTACGTCGTCCTAGCCACCGCACCGCCAGGATTCTAGCCGCTACCGTTTCTCCTTATCGAACATTCCACCACCAGGGGAATACACGATCGCGCGGCGTACTGACACGCGGCTATAAGAGGAAATAAGAGGAAAATGAAGAGGGCAGAGAGAGAGAGAGAAGGAAAACGAAAAAGATGACCGCCTCCTGAATGAAGCTATGCACCTCCGTGGCCGGAGGGCTCGGGATTCAAGTCCAGAGGCTAGTGTACCGTGACGGCACAGCATCCTGCCTCAATCCTTCTCCTCCTCATCTCGCTTCGTCCCCCTCGCTTCGTAACCCCTTGCTTTGCTCCTGTTCCTTCCATCTCGGCTGCGCTCGCGCGCACGCTTCGTCTTTCTTCGTCCGACGTTGACTCGCTGCGCGAC